TCTTTGAAGACCAATCCGAGATGATTGCTTCCTCAAAACAAAAAATATTCCCAAATAACACAAAGTGCTGGTAGAAAGAGGAAAAACGGTGTTCAAATATTGGTCTACGTTTCTGTAAACTTCAACTGAAATGCCAGGATGAAGCTGGAGTAAGGCAAAAACTATTGAGAAGATGATCACTGCCAAGTTCAAATAGACGAGCTTCCGCGGGCTGGTTTTACGGAGATAAAAGTGAGGAAAAACAACCGCTGTAAAACGATCGACGGACATCGCGGTCACTAGGAGAATCGAACTGTTGATTGCTGCGTATTCGACTATCAGAAAAATATCCCCTTCTTTAGGAAGGCTGTAGTCTCCGAAAGCGCACAGATATCTGATTGTTGTTCCTCCAATACATACTACAGTGCCGATGAAGAAATCCACTCCAGAAATAAACACCAAAAACACGGAAAACGTTTTTCGGAAGCAGCGGAGAGGGTTTCGGTAAAGGGCATACAAAATGATGCCATTTGGTACTACAATGAGGAATGAAAGAGGCATCAAGGAAACTCCAGTAGCGAGGCAAACTTCTTTCTCAAAATTGATTTCCATTGTAAACCTGTATCACAGGGCACGTGTGGCCGACTTTTTATATCGTCCTTCCCACCTATTCCTTCACCTATGAATTCAATTGCTCTTTCACTCAGCTCAACCGATATCAAACAATTATTGAACTAAGAATTGACTAAAAACCTCCGGGTTGTACTGAATTGTAGGTGTCTTGTTTGATATCTATACCTTTGACGTTCATCCTGTTTTAAACAAACAAGAAAGCAAGCAGCTTCCTTTTCATGAGCAAATATATTTGTAGTTTGATTAATGTACATCGTGCATTCACGTTCCTAACATCCGGGCACTCATACTATAAATTACTCCCAACACCACAGGTAGCCCAAGCTCGAAATACGAGCATCGGCGAGCACCGGCATTGTTGCGTAACATTCAAAGTTTTAGGATTTGTATGGGAAAAAAACCTATCGTTTCTGTAACCTACGAAAATGAAAGGATTTCAATATAAAACAGCTTACCTTACTTAACATTCGTGTCACGTCTCTCCTGTGTGGTGCACGGGCCGATTTATGGCCGTTTTTTGGGTTTTTATGTAAACCTTCATATAGAGAGAAAACCGTTTACATAAAAAGCCATGAAACGGCCATAAATCGGCCCGTGGACCACACAGGAGAGACGTAACGCACATTTTAAGTAAGGTAAGCTGTTTTTTATTGAAATACTTTCATTTTCGTAAGTTACAGAAACGATAGGTTTTTTTCCCATACAAATCCTTATATTCTGAATGTTACGCAACAATGCCGGTGCTCGCCGATGCTCATAATTCGAGCTTGGGCCACCTGTGCCAACACTCGATTAATCTTAAAAGGTTAATGTTTGGCATTAGGTGGCAATTACAATGGCCTTCCGAATGCTGGGAATAAATCAATTTTTAGGAGATGACAGGCCTTGAATTCTTTAATTAACAAAGATTTTAAGCTTTTCTGTCGAAAAAGGAAACAACTTTGTCAGGTTATAAAAGGTTTGACCAATCACCAAACAACGCAAAAAGCTGTGTGGTCTCCCATAAGCTACATATAGTAGCCATATAATCCTTGTTTCAACATGGGCTCTGAAGAGGTCTGTTCTACGAAACTCAGTTGATTTCACTGGTACGCAAGTGGTCAAAGGTGCTGTAAATCGTGAGAGGACAAGTTAACATGGTCTTGGTGAACTTCAACAAGGCATTCACACAAAGCTTATTACTTTAGAATTCGCAGTAGCTTTAAAAATTTGAAATAAAACTGTCCCTCCTCGCCTATCGTCGTCAAAATTATGTCGTTAATGGTTCGTAACCAAGCTGGTCACTCGTCACGTCTGGCGTACCACAGGGAGTTTTATTGGTCCCCCGACATTTTTCGTTTACATGAACGACCCACCCGACTATGACTTTCCATCACACTGTTCGATGATGACGCTGTTATCTACATGAAAATCCAAACATCTGAAGATCATCATACCCTTCAGAATGACCGTCAACCTCCTCGAGGAGAGGACCTTTCGATGGCAGATGAGATTGGCACACCAAGAAAGTGCCACATTTTACGTATAATGCACATACAAGTGACTGATTTTAGGTATATCATTTAATTGTTTTTCGCGTAAATAAATATATATGAGCTTGAAAAAGGATAGAGAAGTATGTGGAAGTAATGGCTTACGAAAGCTAAATCCCATGGGATTCAAGATAATTCTCATTTCATTTCATTATACGCAACTGATTTTTAAGAAACAGTTGTGTAATTAATCCCTATAACTTATTGTTTTGTAATATAGTATGCTAAACTGTAAGTGAGCATCTGCATACTGCTAGCCCCATTTCGCGACGCCATCGCTTGTTTCCCCAGACAACCCAACCCCCCCCCCCCCACCACCACCACCACCACCACCAGCACCAACGCCACCACCAACACCATCACCACCCACGCCACCA